TTAGTAGGTCCCTTGGGAGACCTAGTCTCTCCTCATCTCCACTTACTCTCTACTGTTTTTGTATGAATCTCCCTCCTGGCTTGGCTTGCACCCTGTCCTTGGGGAGCTAGCCCTGGGGGAGTTTAGGCCCATGCGCTGGGAAAGGTGGGCTGGTGAGTGGCTTCCCTCGGCTTCGATCACAGAATGCTGATCTTGGCCAAACTTAGGGACCTGAAGGTGAATTTGTGGGAGAGCAGAGCAGAGACCTGTGTTTGGAAGGAACCTGGTTAAAGCACTCAGCTACCAGCTGAACAGCCAGCTGAACACCCACCACCCTGCGGGAGGGAAGACGTGTGATCCTCCACAAACACATCAGATCAGTCTTGGAAACTCTGGGGCACATCTGTGTGCGCCCCCCCCCCCACCCCCTTCTCTAGGGTCACCGAGTCAGGATCAGTCTGAACAGGTTTGGGTTGGTTTAGGAATAGGTGTAGTTGGGTTCTGGCTCCATTCTAAGAGGTGGGGGTGGGCACAGCCAACCAGTCCCACTATTGTCCCAACTCTGGGTCTTCGAGCCAGTTTTGGGGTGGGGAGAACTACCAAGCCATTCACACCACTGCACTGTTTCTCTCCAGCTTCATCTCTTTCATTATGTAGAATTCAGGGTGCTAAGATTTATAATGTTGGGGACTCAGGTAGTAGCCTTTCCTTGATGGGAATTTACAAATGGGGAACTGTGGACTTCGAAGGCCTCCTTGTGGTTGGGCCCTGTTTTATTTCCTTTCCGAGGTGTGCTGCCCATGTAGTGCCCGGCCTCAGCTCCTCCTGGTGTGCTGAGCTGCTGGGAGAATTGGGTGTGGCATGGCTGGTGGCTAGTTTCCGCGCCTGATGGCACCCATCTGCCTTTAGACTTCCCCAATAAGAAGCGGAAGAGGAGCCGCTGGAACCAGGACACAATGGAACAGAAGACTGTGATTCCAGGAATGCCCACCGTCATTCCACCCGGCCTGACTCGGGAACAGGAGCGAGCTTACATAGGTAAATCCATGTTCTATGCCTGTATTCGGCTCAAGTGGCTCCTCATTCATGCCGAGCAGTGTTTGTGACAGGGCAGTTTGGGGTGCTAAGAGGCATGGTCAAGGGTACCTTCCCAACCTGTGGCCCACAGATGTGGGCTCGGTGAGTTCCACTGTGGGGGTTTCTCCACTTGGTTCACTCATGACTGTGTTCTCCACCGGGGCCAGGGAGGTAGAGGGACCCACTTAGGAGTGGGCACAGTCCACACTCCAGCCTCTTGGCTGTGGTGCCCTGTCCTTCCCAGTAATGGGGTGAGTGTCCTGTGCCTCCGGGAAGACCCCCTTATAGAGTGAACACTGCAGGGATTGTAAACCCAAGTCCCTTTTCACAGCGTGGCCTTGCTCCCCAGCATTTGTGTTCCTTCCTTCCCCTAAGATGTGGTCTTAACTTTTTTATAGGTGCTTTCTGAAAGGAAAAAAAAGCAAAACACCTCAGTTTGCAACAACAAAAAAAAAACCCAACAAAAAACAAGTTTCTTTTAAGTGTGTTTACAGTTGTCCCCCTTTTACCATTTTAGTGAACATAATTATTAATTAACCTTCCCTTCAGCTTCTTTGCGGGTTTGGGCTTTGGAGAGCTGTCTTAAAATACAGGCTCTTTATATTTTCTCTGAGAGGGTTCTGCTGGGGCGGGACAGGGTCAAAGGTTGGATCTGTGCACCCGGGCATCAGAATTAACCACAGATTTGCCTTCCTGTTTATTTATGTTAAATGCAAGGTTTCTAACGCAGGTTTTACTGTACACCCGTGCAGCTGTTAACAAAAAGTTCACTTGGTCAATAATTACTACTAACGAACTAAGCACCCCTTGGCAGGGCGGAGCTCCTAGGCTTAGACCAGGGCGGCATGCTAAATAAAGTTCTCAAGAGTCTTAACTGACACTGCTGAGCTTCTGAAAGCACCGGACCTGTCTTATCTCCTGCCACCAAGCTACTAATATCTCTTCTCCCCTGAACTGGTCTCTGTTCCCACCTACCTCACCCCACTTCTCTGGCCTCCCTGCAGACCTGTCTGGGTCTTTGCAACTCCCTTGAAAGCACCCTCTAGTGGTGTCCCGGGAATATAAGCCAGACTTCAAAAGCCAGGAAGACTCATTGGCTGCCTCTCCACTTCCCTCCCTCTGAAGAGCTAGCCTGTGGTCAGGTAGATGATGAGAGCAGAGGCTGAGGATGCCCCCATTGTTTGTGAAAGACCTCTGGAAGTGCCACTCGCTTGGATTTCTCTGTAGGGCCAGCTAGTTCCTTCAGTCCCCCATCCCATGAAGGTGACTTGAAGGTGCTGACTAAATTGGCGCTTCCCTGGGAATGGGAGCTCGGGACCTTGCCCTCCTCATGTCTCGGGGCATGCCCCCACCATCTCCCATGGTGTCCATTTCCATGGCTGCTCTACCGAGCTGAGTGGCTGGGTGGTGGCACTCTGAGATATATTTCGAATGAGGACAGGCTCACTTGGCAGACTTGCCCTGGTGAGAGGTGGTCATGCAGCTCGCTAGAAGAGACCATCTGGCTCTACAGTTCCATTAGCAAGCTACAAATCCACAGTGTGGCATTTCTCCTGGGTCACTCTGGAAACACCCCCCCCCCCAAAAAACAAAACAAAACAAAACAAACCGATCTCTCTTGCTCATGGCCACCCTCCCATGTCAAGCCCTAAGGCCATACACCCTTGACACTCCACAGCCTCTGCACCCCCACTTTTGCTCCCCACGTTAACAGCCAGTCTAAAAAGAGACTCCTGGATATCTTTACAGCTACTAGTGTGTGAAGGTAAATGGTCTCATCTTGACCACGCATCACTAAAGGCAACCAGAAGAGTGGACCCTTGCTAGGGTGGGTCTGGCTTTACAGAAAGAGCGTGTATACAAACCTCCTTAAGATGTGGAAGTGGTTCATAAAGTGTCGTAACCAACCTGTTTATAAGAGTTTTGTATAACAAAAATGATCTTTGTTCACAAACTGTTTCTCGTCCCATGTTATTGGGTCTCATTTCAGGCCATGTTTAATATTTTAATGCTGGAAAATCCACTCTTGCCCTCCAGAAAGTAGCGTGGGGATGGGGTGTCGGTGGGGAACATGGATGGTTTTGGTGCTGGGGTGCCACTGGCACGGCAGACCGAGGGGAGGCCGAGGTAAATCGGTCCCCGCCTGGTCCTTGCGGTGCTGTCGGCCGTAGTGAACAGTATACGCTAACCCTTCTTCACCAAACTGCTTTACCGTTTGAAGGGGGGAACATGACCCATAGACGTAAACGGACTCCTGCCGATAGGTGGTGGGGAGTCTGCCTCAAATGTGTTCACTGGTCAGTCGTCCCTTTCAAAGTCTCCGAGTTCTTCATGCTTGTTGTTGAGATTTAAGATGTATTGTGGTAACATTGTCTTTTTTCCATCCTTTTTTTTTTCTTTCCTAACCTGGTTTCTTCCAGTGCAACTGCAGATAGAAGACCTGACTCGTAAACTGCGCACAGGAGACCTGGGCATCCCCCCTAACCCTGAGGACAGGTTGGGAAACAGTTTTAACCAGCTGACAGTAACGCTTTTTACCTTTTTCTCAATACGTTTTACTGGTGGCAAGATATTGTGTCAGTTTGCTAAAATCCTAGTTAAGTCGGCCGGTCCTGTGACCATTGGTGGGCATTGGGTCTCATTAGCCATGGCATGTAGTACTCAGCAGTTAGACTAAGGTCCTAGCAGCACCAGACCCTACAGGCGCATCGACACCTGCCTTCCCATTGGTAAGCGCGTAGGCGTGAACCTGGTTCCCAATCCGGAGGGAGGGAGGGAGAGTGAGGTGGCCTGGTAACCTGCCTTTTTCAGGTTGGACCCGCTTGGCTGAAGTCCAGGGCAGAGAGCCTTTCTCACAGGCCCGATGCAGGGTTGAGACTGATCGTGAGCACCCTTGAGTTGGAGCGGGCCAGTCTCCCTGCTCACCGGTCTTCACATGGTTTCTAAATCCTGTGGGACTTTCTAACCAGCTTCCTTCACTGCCAGTTAATTTCCAGCCTTGGTCATTGTCTGGAGGGCGAGGGGCTGGGAGGGGCCAGGACACTCATTCCTACCTGGGGAAGGCCAGCACCCTGCCCTCCCAAATGTGACTGCATCTTAGGGGTGTGGGGGTGTGGTCCTCAGGTGGCTCACAGGAAGTGAACATTTTATTTATAACGGGCTTTGCTGGCTAATTGATCTAAAATCTGGTCATTTAATAAAAGGTCCGTAACCCTGCCTCCCGATAACACTTCTCAGTCTATGCCGCATAACTGAGAACATGGCTTTAAAGGGTGATGTTTTTCGTGTTTCCGTTTTTGTTTTTGGCCCCTGGTTGCCCAGCTAATGGAATGTGACTCAGGAAGTTGTCGTGACAGCCCTGAAAGCCTCCCTGCGGCCCATTTGGGTTTACCCATGAAGTTTTCCTTTTTCCTTTTACCTGTAGGCTTGGGTTAGAGAGTCATGGCATATTTTCCATTTTCTTTTGATTTGGAGGTGCCCCCCCCCCAAAAAAAAAAAAAAAAAAAGCTCTGCAGCTACAGCCTCTGCCCTTCTTTGATCTGTGTCTACAGGTCCCAGGCAAAAGCTTTGCTTTTTTTTTTTTTAAATGAACTTCCTTTATTTCCTGGAGAAGCAGGAGAATTTATTTGGTTTAATCCAATGCCAATTCAAAATGGAGACACACATGCACGCACACACACATTGAAAAGAGATTTAATGGCCTTTTAAATGACCAATTCAGTGCTGGTAAATGTGTTTTGGTGACGGGCCAGAAAGTGGTAATTCTAGGTGGTTGGGGGCCAGGGCCAGAAAGGCCAGTCAGAGCAGAGGCGTCCTCTCACGCCCCCCCCCCATGGTGACAGAGGGCCCACCGTCTGCTTGGTTTTGCTGTGAGCCCAGGTTGGAGGGGTATGCACGAGTTTTCTCACTTGTAATCATATAAGCTAACTTTGTAAGTTTATCCTCAAAATGAAGCCACTTTATGCTATTTGATGTTGCTTGAACGTGCACAATTTAAAATGTTCTCAGATCTTTCCTAGACGTAATGTGTGTAAAATGATCTAGTTCAATGAGTCTGGGGTATATATGCTTTTGTTCCCGATGATTGGATTGTGCTAACAGTTGATGCAAATGCTAGAAGCGGAGGTGTCACCTAGCCGGCATTAGCCATGAACCAACCTGACCTTTTATCCCATTGTGTGTGTGATGTGTGCCACGGTTCCCTTCAGGCTGAAGATGGTGGGAGCCGCGCTCAGCCCTTGCTCTCACCTAGGCAAGGTCCCTGCAACCCAAACAAGGGGGAGGAGGAGGCGTGGCAACTTTTCAGGATGTTTTAAAAATAACCTGATCCACATGGTCTCTTCCCTTCTTGCAGCTGCAACCTAATTTTCATTCAGAATATCAAGTTATGATCCTTTTTAAAATATGAACTCAGAATTCTAGGAGCGTAACCTCTCTCTCTTTTTTAATTACCGCAAAATCCAGCTGTGGTAAACTGACCATTTATAAATATAATTTTTCTACTTTTTTGTTTTTTTACTTGTAGCTAACAGCATGTCACTCCTTTAAAAAATGAGAGAGAGAGCAAAAAGCTGCTCTCTGGACTTGTAAATTCGGGTGGGGAGACCCTAGAGCCCCTTGCTGTTTGCAGGGTCAGACCTTAGACGAGGGCTTGACCCAGTCTGCACCGCAGCCTCTTGGAGAAACTGCTCTAGCTTTTTAACAGTTTTCTCTAGCCAGACTCGACCCTCGGACAGTCAGAAGAACAAAAGGTCTCCTGGGCCTTGGATACAGCCAGCCAGGCCATTGAAGGGAAAGCAGAGATGAAGCCTTGCGTCACCTCGCTCCATTGTAGGGGCCGAGTTGCTATAGTAGCTCCCAAGGCCTCCCGTGCAGTGGGTCCTCTAAAAGTCTGGGGCTCAGACACATTTCCCATTAGGTGCCAGCTCCCCAAGAGCCAGCATCTGACCCAGACTTGGAATTTCTGTGGCTGGTCACATCCCCTCTTACGCCACCTGGAAGGAAGTCCGTATTTGACATGAAGACTCCAGACGCTCCTAGTGGTTCTTGCAATTTATAATGCAGATGTTGTCCCCCGGGAGGACAGCCTTTTTCTACGCCTCATTACCTTGAGGACACACACGCACTCACACACCCCGCTCAGCCCCTTAAACACTACGCAGCTTTCATCCCTCCATTCTGCACGATCTTGAATAGCACACGGGACGGTCAGTTTCTCCGGAGGTTTGTGTTAGGGTCTGAGAGGCAGAGGGCTGGGGAAGACGGACTGTAGCCCGTGTGGGGACACGAGGCAGGGCCGAGCAGTCATGGTGGCCTGTCACCCACAGGTCCCCTTCCCCTGAGCCCATCTACAATAGCGAGGGGAAGCGGCTCAACACCCGGGAGTTCCGAACACGCAAGAAGCTGGAAGAGGAGCGGCACAACCTCATCACAGAGATGGTGGCGCTCAACCCTGACTTCAAGCCGCCTGCTGACTACAAGTGAGCGCGGGCTGGGGCTGACTGCACCCATGGGCGCACCAGACGGATTCCTGTCGGACAGCTGCTGCTGGTTGTGTAGCTTCTCCCCGCCTTGTCTTTTCTAGACCTCCAGCGACCCGTGTGAGCGATAAAGTCATGATCCCACAAGATGAGTACCCGGAGATCAACTTCGTGGGACTGCTGATAGGGCCCAGGTGAGGTTGGGTGGGCAGGCAAGGGCCCTGTGCCTGGAGATGGTCTGTGTTGTGTTTAGGTGGGTGCTGTTGGCTTACTCCTCTGAGTTTCTGAGGAGTTAGTGGGAAGTTGATTCTGTTACCTTTCATTCTGTTTTCCATGAACTTTGTGAACTCCTTTCTTTGGAATAGGAACTTCCCTTCGGCTGAGCTTAGGCCTTTCTGTGAGAAAAGCTCGCAAACTTCCCCATTTGTCTGTGGAGAAGTCCTGGCTGCAGCTCGACCTGACCTGACCTTAGAGCAGTGGTTCGCAGCCTTCCTCATGCTGCGACCCTTCAGTGCAGTTCCTCATGTGGTGGTGACCCTCCAGCCATAACATTCTCTTCCTTGTGCCTCCATCACTGTCATTTTGCCACTCTTGTGAATTGGGCGACCCCGTGAAAGGGTCATTCGACCCTTAAAGGGGTCACAACCCACAGGCTGTCGCCCGCTGCCCTGGAGGCTTTCGAGTGTGTGCACTGGATGGATGAGCCTGTATGTTGGCGCTAACCCGATTCTCTGTCGTCCGTCGCCCTCCCCTCCCCTCCCGCAGAGGAAACACCCTGAAGAACATAGAGAAGGAGTGCAATGCCAAGATCATGATCCGGGGCAAGGGCTCCGTGAAAGAAGGGAAGGTCGGGCGCAAAGACGGCCAGATGCTGCCGGGGGAGGACGAGCCACTTCACGCCCTGGTCACAGCCAACACCATGGAGAATGTCAAGAAGGCCGTGGAGCAGGTGAGCGAGCACGGAGGGCCACGTCCTTCCCGAGCTTGAACCGTGGTGCCCACGTGTCCTAACAAGGCCCCTGGCCTCTTCTAGATAAGGAACATCCTCAAGCAGGGCATCGAGACCCCAGAGGACCAGAACGACCTGCGCAAGATGCAGCTCCGGGAGTTAGCGCGGCTGAACGGCACCCTTCGGGAAGACGATAACAGGCACGGAGTGGGTGGGGGCAGTTGGGGTGCGGGCAGGGAGGCCTGGAAGAGCCTGGGACAGGAGAGTGGTGAGGTCATTGTCTCCTCCCCCTGTTCTCCACAGGATTCTAAGACCCTGGCAGAGCTCTGAGACCCGGAGCATCACCAACACCACTGTGTGCACCAAGTGTGGTGGGGCTGGCCACATTGCCTCCGACTGCAAGTTCCAGAGGTGAGAGGCAAGGGGGAGGCTCATGAGCCAGCATGCTGATTAATCTTGGGGACCCAAAAGCACCTCCTGTTCTGTGACTTTGTCCTAGAAGAAGGGGGGGGGGGTGTTGAAACCAGGACTAGGAAGCCCCTCCATCTGAGTGTCCACTGCCCCCAGGAGAGCAGGAAGTTACCATTCTGTTCTGAGTGGACGTAGTGGTTTCTCTGGTGCTCAGTGTTAACGCCCTTGGTTGCCTGAGATCAGTCCTGGAAGACCAAGCTGTTGTCCAAGGCGGTGGGGCCTGGCTTGGGTTTGGCATCTGTGCTGGGTGCCTGCTTGGCCCAGGGTCTTCCAGACGCAGGTAGAGGTGAGAGTCCTGGCTGCCAAAGCTGGGCTTTTGATCTGAAGCGCTGATGAGACCCGGCCAGTAGTGGGGTAGAGAGATTGTGTCAGCAAGTACAAGAGAACATAGCACCACCCTCAGTATTGTTAGATTGGAGCCCCTGTTGCACCCATGGTCAGTCCATCTAGTAGTCCCTCCTTAATCCCAGGTCACGCACTGCCTGAACTACAGTTCTAAGTGAAGATAGGCTAGCACATCACATAAATTGAGTCCGGTTCTTCATAGTTTCTCATCTTTCGCACCTTCAGGCCTGGTGACCCCCAGTCGGCACAGGACAAAGCTCGTATGGATAAAGAGTATCTGTCGCTCATGGCAGAGCTGGGAGAAGCACCTGTCCCCGCCTCCGTGGGGTCCTCTTCTGGACCTTCGGCCACACCCCTGTCTAGTGCGCCACGGCCTGCCGCTCCTGCCAACAACCCACCTCCACCGGTGAGCCTAGGGCCAGTTCTCAGGGTCTGGCTGCCCCCGTCCTCTGGCACAGAGATTGGGAGCTATGGCCATGGGCTTTCAGCTTAGTGCCTGGGTGGACATGGCTGGCGGCAACATTGTTTTTCCGGGAGGTCAAGCCAGTTTGGAGGACCGCTCACTTGGGGAGATCTTGTCTGTGTTCTGGTCCCTTGGCAGAGCCGCAAGAACAGTGTTGCCACCAGTGGGGGAGCAGGCCAGGACATTGGCGGGAACGCCCTCACGCAGTCTCTCATGTCCACCACCCAGAGCCGCCCACCCTGGATGAACTCCGGCCCCTCTGAAAGCCGGCCCTACCATGGCATGCACGGAGGTGGTCCTGGTGGGCCAGGTGGCGGCCCCCACAGCTTCCCACATCCACTGCCCAGCCTGACGGGCGGCCATGGTGGCCACCCCATGCAGCACAACCCGAACGGACCCCCACCACCGTGGATGCAGCCGCCACCGCCGCCGATGAACCAGGGTCCCCACCCGCCTGGGCACCATGGCCCTCCTCCAATGGGTAAGTAAGTGTCAGACCGGAGACCTTGGGGCTCTGGGATACATGGGCTCACGGATCTTCAGCCAGGTGCTCCAGTGAGCAGGCGGTGGGAGAGGGGGTGGGGGCGCAGGGGAAAGGGGCTCCCTGGCCAGGTCACATGTCTTGCTAAGTCCCTGCTCTCTCCTTCCATCAAGATCAGTACCTGGGAAGTACGCCTGTGGGCTCTGGGCTATACCGCCTGCATCAAGGAAAAGGTAACAGTCCTCTGGGGCTGTCTCGGGTTTGAGGGGGGGCTGTGTGGGGAAAACCTCGGTCTCACTCTGGCCTCGCCTCCAGGTATGATGCCGCCGCCGCCTATGGGCATGATGCCGCCGCCGCCGCCACCGCCCAGTGGACAGCCTCCGCCCCCTCCCTCTGGCCCTCTGCCCCCATGGCAACAGCAGCAGCAGCAGCCTCCGCCGCCCCCTCCGCCCAGCAGCAGTATGGCTTCCAGCACCCCCTTGCCATGGCAGCAAAGTGAGTGCCTTCAGCTGGGCTGGTGGGGGTGGGTGGGGTGGGAGGGAGGGGCTCTGGGCTTAGTCACGGGCCAAGAGGGGGACTTGGGCCCGGGCAGTTGGTGCTTCGTGTGGTTGTGTCTGGGGAGAGGTTGGTGGGCTTGTCTGGAGGGGCACTGGTGATCAGGCAGGGTGCGGGAACTGGAGGCGAGCCGCAGGCTGCCCAGGTGGGATGGTGCACGCATGCTGGAGCCAGGGCTGTGACTGGGCCTGAGAGACTGCTGGGCGGGCTGGGTTGGGGGAGAGCAACTATGGATGGCCTTGAGGTCGAATGTGCCATTCGGTGGTGGCAGCGGCGGCTGGGCGGAGGGACAGCAGAGCCGGTTCTTGTGTCTGGTACCTCTCCTACAGCCCCTCCTGGGGCACTGGTGACAGGGCTTACTCTCTGAAGCCCAGAGACTTTGAGGCTGGCCCCGGTAGTCCTGCCCACCCCGTCCCCCCATCGCCAGGGCCACCCCGCCCGACCGCCCCCACCACCACCGTACCGCATGCCAAGCAAGGAGCAGGCGCCCTCGCCCCCATCCCGAGGCGGCAGCCGAGAAGCCGCGGTGTGGTCCCGCGCGTGTGACCTTGGGCTTCTTTACCACCCCAGATACGACGACTACCACCACGAGCGCTGGCACAGGGCCCATCCCGCCATGGCAACAGCAGCAGGCGGCTGCCGCAGCTTCTCCAGGAGCCCCTCAGATGCAAGGCAACCCCACTATGGTGCCCCTGCCCCCCGGGGTCCAGCCGCCTCTGCCGCCCGGTGCCCCTCCCCCTCCGCCGCCTCCGCCACCTGGTTCCGCCGGCATGATGTATGCCCCGCCCCCCCCTCCTCCGCCTCCCATGGACCCTTCTAACTTTGTCACCATGATGGGCATGGGGGTGGCGGGCATGCCGCCCTTCGGGATGCCTCCAGCACCTCCACCGCCGCCTCCCCAGAACTAGACTTGTTTTTTAAGAAAATATATATTAGAGAGAGAGAGAGAACTGGTCTCGCTTAAACACCCGCCGAACCTCACCATGTGGAACCAGACTTTGGGACGCACGCATGTGATTGTGTGTGCACGCGTGTGTGTGTGCTCGCACTCACGGGCTGGGCAGTTGGAAGTAGGGGCGCCAGCTGGGGCTCTCCTGGCGCCCTGTAGCATCGAGTGTCTTTTGTCTTTCTCTCCTCACCCAACTCCCTTTGCCTCTCCCCAAACGGGCCGCCAGGACCCCTTCCCGCGGCGGCGATGGCCCGGGCCCTGAGAGCGAGGAGTTTCCGCGCCCATTGGTGACCCTTCCAGGCAGACAGCCTCAGCAGCGCCCCTGGTGGACAGGATGGTTCGGCAAAGCAGCCTGAGTCATTTTTGTGGACGGAATCGGAACACGCTGGCTCCATACCGTGACATTTGTATTAATTTTTTTTCTTTTTCCTTTGTTCCTTTCTTCTCTCTTCCTTTCTTCAGACTCCGCCCCAGGAGCAGCTCTCCCTGGTCTCCTGCTGCCGTTAGTGTCCTTCCCTGCAGCCACTCCTGGGGGTTCCGGGGCGGGGGTGGGGGGCTGGCTATAGGCACAAGTTCTGGCTGGGAGGGCCCATCTAGCAACAAGGGGTTCCTGCTGGTCCCTGTTCTTTGGGGTGTCAGTGCTACCAACTGCCCCACCTGGGGGGTTTTGATAAGTTCAGGGGCCCAACTCCCCAACCCCAGGGTCCATGGCCGCCCACCCCTGTGTGCTCTCTGCCCTTGTGCCACCGAAGCTGCCGCGCCCGCTGTTCCCCCTCCTCGAAGGTGTCCTCTCGCATCTTGTTTCTCCCAGACATCCGAGTGTGTTCCAGCGTCCACAGGGTTTGCGCCTCTTGTTCTTGGTTCTGCTTCCTGTCCCCTTCTGCATTGCACGATTATGTTGACAATGATGTGGGCACCTTCTGTATGGGCTAGCTGCGGAAGTCTCTTGGGGCCGGTGGGTGTGTCAGACTCGGCACTGTATTTCGGGGGTCTCCCCTCGAATAAAGGAGCAGTTGGCTCTCGGGTGTCTTTCTTGACTCCTTTTCTCCCACACATACAGCAGCCCATCTTCCTATGGGCCCCAAGGCGCTGGCCTTGAAGGAGCCTGCCGGCTGCCTTCTTTGCAACAGGGACACATACCGTCACCCCTGGTTTCCTGATTAAAGTAGCCAAGGTCCTGGTGCTTGGAGCCCCGGCTTCTGGTGAGCTTCAAGCGAAGCTTGACTGGAAGCGAAGCGCCACCAGGCTGAGGACCTGGGGCCCCTCCACATTAAAGGTCAGGCTAACGAATCTGGCCGGTCATTGCAGAATGGCTAAAATTAAAACTGCCAAGTGGCTTTTTCTCCCGCTAACGACTTGCAGCCTGCCAAGACATGGGCCCACAGTGGGCCTTGTAAGTGATTCTCTGCCAGGGGTCCTGGGCAGCACCGGGACAAAAAAAACTTTTCCAGCCATGCCAGCTGCCTCCTAATTTTCGGGGGCTATCTTGCAGGCCCACTCCCCCGGTCCCCAGTCTGTTAAGTGGGGACAACAGCACTGTCCTGGGCTGCTGCCCAGCTTGGACTCAGGCCTGGGGGCCTGGAAGCCTCCAGTAGAGGCAAGCAATCTGAGGGAACCCCCGCCTCCAAAACCAAGCCAGCTCCCAGAGCTGGTGGGGGTGGGGGTCTGGAAGACTGGGCAGGCTTGGCTGCCTCCCCTCTCTGACCTTGTTCTCACCTCCTGGCTTCCCTCCCTTCCCAAGCTTGGTTTCCCTGGTGGGCTCATTGGGTGGTTAATTAGCTCTTTGAAGCTCTGGAAGAGGCAAAGTGGCGCTATGTGGTTTTAGAAATAAAATCAATAAAGGACTTAACCACAGCCCTGCTATCTCAGCCTCTCCCCTGGGGCCAGCTCCACTCACGCCTACAGCTTTCCGAAGGGTTTCTGAGGAGGAAGAAGTGATTGACGAAGGGAGGCTTCAGTCTTGGCTTTTCTCCAAGCTTCCTGAAACCCATCAAAATGGTAGCGAGGCAGCAGGCACCTTCCTTGGTGGCAGAATGGTAGCTACCCTGCCTCCAACTGCCCCAACACCCATCCCACCTACACCTCTTCCCCCCAATGGCCCAGTGGTGGGTGTGCATTCAGGAAAGGTCAGCTCTCGGCTCTGTTCCTGAAGGCAGCCAGGTGCTGTGCAGTCACGCAGGGAGGAGGTCCATCCTGGTTAGCAGCCGTTTTGGGCTTCAGACCACCGAGGTGCAGGCCAGGAGAGTAAGCACCCAGGCATTAAGTGGGCACCAGCAGGAGGGGTGTCAGTTTCAGAGGGTGGGGCACCATGGAGGCCAAACCCTTGGGAGGAAGTGGTAGGGCAGACAAAGTCCCCAGGTGGACAGCTCCTCCATAGCAGGGGAATTTATGGGTGAGCCAGAAGGTGGGGGCAGTTCCCTGGGGCTGGCTGTAGCAGGAGGCAGGGCCGGAGAGAGGTGGAGCCAGCATTCACTGGCGGACAGGAGCTGCTCTTCCAAGCTCCTGCTGCCGAAGGGCCATGGACCAGTGTCCTGGATCTCCAGCAGCCCCCGAGGAGAGCCAAGGGCAGGGAGATAGCCAGCGAGCTGCAGAGGTGCTATGCCTGTTGGGGCCCTTCCCACAGAGGTGGGAGGTGCCCAGCCTGCCAGCCTCCGAGGGAACGGGCGGCGCCAGGCTTTCATTTCTGAAATGGTGTATGTAACCCTTTCTCTGTTTCTAATAAAGCTTTGTCTGTTTCTCGTGTCTGTGTTGTGGTGTTCCCGACCGTCTGCTTTCAAACATGACACTGAGGTGATGCTGTTGGGGACCAACCAAACCTACCCCTACTGTTATCAGTGACCAGGTGGGACAGTAGGCCTGCCCCCGAGTAGTTGCCCTGGTGACATCGAGGGCTGCGTAAGGTGGTCAGCAGTGAGTCCGCCAGCTGATGGGGCTAGCTAAAGATTAAAGTCCTCCAACCCTGTCGCTAGGAGTCAAGTTGCCTCGAGGGCCGTGAGTTTGGAAATGAGAATTCGTAGAAGCAGACTGCACGTGTCTCATGAAGAACCGCTGGGGACAGCGGAGCCCCTGTTCTGCTAGCCAAGCACTTGCCACGACCCTGTGGGTTTCTGGCAGGACTGGGCCTGACGACCCGGTCTGGGGCATCTTGCAGTTTGGCCCCCACATTGAAGTGGACAGACTCGGGAAGCCCCTCCCCTGTAGGCCCCCTAGCTGTCAACATCCTGTGGCTGCCCTGACCTGCCTTCACTACGTCCCAGACCCAAACAACCAGCCCTTAGGCCCACACCCTGCCCACAGAGCACAAGTCCAGGAGGCTGCAGCTGCAGTTACTCCACCAAAAAGAGGATCTCGCTGTGCGCGGCAGAAGCCAGGCCTGGCAAGCTGCCTGGGGCTCAGTGCTGCTCTCATCTACCTGATGGCGGGTGGGATTTGAGGTGTTTGGAGTATCGGCCAAGGCCGAGGCCAGGGCTGGAGCAGAAATCGGAGCCACAGGAGCAGGTGAGACTCTTGTGTGACAGGGAGGTCACAGCTCAGGAGGTAGCCTTCTGCCCCACTCCCCTGACCAGCATGTGGCCTCTGGGTGGGGGAGTGGCACGAGAAGGCGTGCCCGCTGGACCAGGCAGCTGAACCACCAAGAACACCTGATACCCTAGAATTGATCCCACCCCATGAGTTAGACTGCCCTATAGTCATCCCACTGACGGCAGTTTGCCTGGAACCTGGACGTCTTTCACAGCACCACGTTAGGCTAACTTTTAGTTTCGAGGAAACTGCCCCACCCAGGAACCTCACTGGACCCTGAGGAACCAATAGGGGAGGTTCCTGCTTCAGCGTCCCCCACCCTTGTGGGCTCATAGTACTACACTTCCCAGTAGCCCCTGCTCCAGGCAGGGGGGGGGGGCTACCCGCCAAAGCAGGTCTGTAATCTGACCAGCCCTTCTTAAAGGTCACTCCAGAGCTGCTTGAGGGACAGCGACAGAAGCACTCAGCGTGGCTCAGCTTGGGTGGGGGTGCGGTCGAGACGGTGGCCCTGCCCTTCCCCCCCCAGGACCCTGGCTTGGACCCCCTGTCTCAGGTCCTCAGTGTCCTCTTTAACATGGAATGCAGCCCCTCAGCCTCCGCTAAAGGCAGGGCCCCTGGGGCCATGGGGAGCCGGCTGTCACCTGCCCACCTTCACAACCCCTCAGCTGCTCTAAGGAGCCAGGTTGGGAAGCTACCAACAGGTCTGGTCTTGAGCTCTAACTCAGCAAAAGGCCAAGAGAGGCAGTGTGCTGTATCCCAAGTCACACAGCAAATGAGGGCACCGGTCAGCCTCAGGCCTCCCAGCCCAGGCCTCTGTGTGCAGGGTGGAGCTCATCTCCCACCCTGCAAGTGGCAGGGGACAGAAGACCCCAATGTCTGAGCCCTAAAGAAAAGTAGGCCAGGGCCCTAAGGGAACCAGGCCAGGCCCGTCCCTCCTCCTTGCCTCCCCTCCTCCCCTCACCCCCAAAATAGCTCCCAGAGCTGAGGGCCAAGACCCTCCCATCTATCCCGCAGGGAGGATGGGCCACACAGGGAGGTGGGGCGGGCATGCTGCCCAGAGCCGGGCCTTAAATCCCCGCCTGTTGGCGCCGGGAGCTCCACTCCCTGGCTGGAGGCACCACCAGTCGTCCATCAGGCCCTGCTCGCCTGCCCTGCCGCCATGTCCCTGCCCCTGTCAGACCATGACAAACGGAAGCAGATCAGCGTGCGGGGCCTGGCTGGCGTGGAGAACGTGGCCGATCTGAAAAAGAACTTCAACCGGCACTTACACTTCACGCTGGTCAAGGACCGCAATGTGGCCACGCCCCGAGACTACTACTTCGCGCTGGCCCACACCGTGCGAGACCACCTGGTGGGGCGCTGGATCCGCACGCAGCAGCACTACTACGAGAAGGACCCCAAGGTGCTGCTGGGGGGCACCTAGGCGGCGGATGGTGGGGGGAGGGGGGGCCTGCCTAGCCTCTGGAGGGGTGACCTCTTCGGCAGCCAAAGAAAAGGTCACCGGGTCCCTGGGGCCAGGCAACTGGGGCAGTGTCTGTGTGTGTGTGTGTGTGTGTGTGTAAGAGAGAGAGAGAGTTGGCAGGGGGTGCTGGGCACAGCCTAGAGGGAGGGCAGAGGTTCAGTGTCCACTCAGAGGGGCTTGCTGGTGGACAAGGAACCCCCCCCTCTGTGGCTTAGGTTGGTCACCGTGTAGAAAGGGGTGCCATTGACCATGTGTGGGCGCAGTGGGCAGGGTGAGGCTGACAGCTGGGGTGCAGGGATCAAGTGTCTGGAGGGGTCAGTTGTAAATGTCAGCAACCTAACACTCCTCCCCAG